AAACGAACCAGTTCTTTCAGTAACATGTCGCCAGGTGCTAGCGTTTATAAACCTCCCACTAGCGGGCACACGAATAACATGACCATATCGAGACAAAACAGGCAGAAGTTAACAGAAAATCATACTTTACAGATAATTTCCAGATCATCAAGGCAGTTAAATAAACTCCAAGCAGGCATGCTCAAATCAATAAAAAAAATAATAATCTTATTTCAAATCAATCATACTCATTTTTGTATAAAACGGGTTTAGTCCCACCACCACTTCAAAAACAAGTTAAAATATACTTTTAAAATCGAAGAGTGTTACCATAATTTACTTACCTCACTCGCATAAAATTGGAAACTCAAGCCAAGTGCTCGGGTGATAGAACAATCACGAACCTAATCAAACATCCAAAAATTAATACCCATATGACCGAATATCTCAATTTTATTCTCAATATAACCACACATTTAAACCCTCCTATTGTTGGCCATTAGTGCATGAACAGTGTCCATAAGCAGTATCGTGAACAGTAACTGCACTTCCAAAATTGGCAAAACAATGGCTAATTCACGGGATTTTTCTCCAAAAATCACAGCAGTAGCTAATTAACACTCAATCACATAATTTCACTTGAATAAATGCTTAAATTTTGTCCTAAAGCTATCGGAATTCATCCCCATTTTCTGCAGAATTTCAAACATCACAAGGCAGCAAATTAAATGGATAATTTTAGGCTTGGAGGAGCTATCAACATACCAGAATTTTCCAGTTGCAGAACCGGACCTGGCAGGGGGGAGAGGCCGGCGACAATTCTGCAGGGGACTCACGGGAACTACCCAAAATTCAAGAACCACAACCAAAAATTAGAGTAACCCAAGTTAAATCAAGGCTAGTGAGATGATTTCTTGGCTGTGGCTTACCAGAAAAAGCCGAAGGATGCACACCCAGCAGAAATTCGCGGACAGCAAGGGAGGAAGACGCAGAGCAGAACAGATCTGGAAATTCTGCAGAGGGGGAGAGATTTTTGGGTTCAATTTTCAGTCCTAGAACAAGAAAAGAAATGGGAAATCTCAAGCTTCTTACCGGTTTTTTCCTCAAGGGAGGGCTGCCGGAAGCATGCTTCTTGTTTGGCTGTAGGGGGAAGAAAAGAAGAGCAGAAACGCGAAATGGCTGGGGAAGAAAGAAGGAAGAAAAATCACCCGGTCCATATCCAAATCCTTTCTCTTGTAAGTCCCTCAAGTTTGAAAATTTTGGCTATTAAACCCAAAACAATGTTTTTCCACAATTTAATCCTTAACTTAATACTATAATATCACAAAATTTTTAGGTATTACAGAAACATAGGTAAGCTTGAGAGCATAAAGTTAATAAGACCAATTCTACCTCCAAAGAATAAGAACTAGACCATTTCTTAATAATAATATTTTTTTGAATTTTTCATTAGCGGTTTTCACATTACCAGCCTCCTTGAACTTATTCCAACCAAGACACCCAAGTATTTGAAGGTAAACTCCTTTACTATGTAGTTTAATAATTTTGACATTCCCTCTTTGCAATCCATCTTAACATTTACTCCTAGCAATTGAGCCTTGCTATAGTTGATTTAAGATCACAAGCTTAACAGTTCACATCGTAGCTTTAATTGCCCAGACATTGCTCTCTGTTGTTTCTTCAACCAACATAGTATCATTTACAAATTACAACTGAGAAACAACTAAGCCCTTGTTTTTTATTGTTGTCCCTCTAAACATAGTTTTCTACATTGCACTTGATATTTTACCATTCAAATCCCCCATAACAATAAGGAATAAGAAAGGTGATAATGATTCTCCTCGGTGTAATCCATGACTCATACAAAACTCCTTAGTAGCATTACCATTCACTAGCACAGACACCATGCTTGTCTTTAGGCACTCTCAAATCTACATTTTCCAAGTGTTACAAAATAGGGCCTGTGCATCATATATTCCAAAAAAAACACTAGCTCACATTATCATAAGCCTTTTTCTAGCTAAATCAGACTTAAAGATGAAACACAACTCTTCTTTCTTCTTTTTGTCTTTACTACTACTTTGTTAGTAATCAAACCCCACTCATCAACTATTTAACCCCTACAAAGGCAAATTGTTCTTCATCAATAGTACTATTAATAACCTTTCTTAAGGGCAATGTGACTTTTATTTTAGGATTTCTCTAGCCTGTACCTTAAGGAAACATTAATTGCATCTTTTCTCTATTAATTTGTATAAAAAAATATAAAAGATTTTCTTTTCAACACTAATGACAGGTACACAATTTTAATTCAATAGTGCTATAGTTACAATGTGACATAAGATCAAAACTCATAAACATAAGATCAAAACTCATAATCATAATATATTATTAGATGAGTGGATATATCGAATATCATGGTTGGACTCATGAATGAAAAGAACTAATTATATAATAATACATTATGATTATAAACTTAAAATATTAAAAAATATTTTAATTATAGCATTTTCAATTTTAATTGGGCAATTAATAAAATTGAAGTAAACTTTTATTTTTTTTCATAACAATTAACAAAAAAAAGTAATGCAATATGAACCTAACACACATTAGATTTTACTGTACTTTTTGCTTTGATACTCTTAGGTTTTTTTGTTTTGTCTTTCTCAAATAACCAAGTTAGTGGGAGGGAAAAGTCTTCTTGTTGCATATTTCTTCGGGAATTATCCTTTTGCATTTCACCTAGTAATCGGCAGGAAAATAGTCTTTGTCGTTTGGTTTGCCCTTTGCTTGTGGATGTAGGGCCTTGTTGGTCTGTAGGATTTTTTTGTTGGCTCTTCGAATCCCAACTTGGGGTGGGCGCCGGCTGTCATTGTTCCTACGGTCAATGTTGCCCTATCAACACCAGACGGTAGAGTACACTACTAATATCCTTAGCTTCAGCAACATGGAAGCATGTTGCTGAAAGTGGTTCCCATGTTGCTGAAAGTCATTCCCATGTTGCTGAAAGTCCTTCAGCAACATGGATTTGCTTGCTAAAGGCTTTGTTGGAGAAGGCTTGGTGGGTAATACATTACCAACCAAAATCTTGTTGCTGATATATCAGCAACATAAGCTATGTTGCTGAAAATATAGTATCAACAACATAGCTTATGTTGCTGAAAATATTCACCGGAATCCGGTGAGAGTAGAGGTGAATTTTCTCACCCTCTTCAACAACATAAGCTACGTTGTTGAAGATAAAGTTTCAGCAACGTGGCTCATGTTGCTAAAAATTGAGAGAAATATGGCTGAAAACCGGCACCGAAATGCTACCTAATTTTTAGCAAGCAAAGTTACATTGTTGATTTTCAACTTTCACCAAGAAAAACCATGTTGCTGATATTTATTTTTATACTTCCACCCACATTTTCAGCAACCTATCCATTGTTGCTAATGTTTACTCTAAATAGTATCAACCACATTTTTAACAACATACTCTTTGTTGGTGATACATCAAAATACTTCATAAAAAAAAACTATACTTACCAAAATTTTGAACACATATTTTTTATTTTAATTTTTATGAAAATAAATATATTACATTAAGTTTATACTATCAAATATTAAATTTAATAAT